GACTTCACTTCTGAGAGCCATTTGAGTTGGATGATTCATCCTTAATAGAAAATTTCTGTTCTTCTCCATATTTATTTTGGCAACCAGACATTATTTTTACGGTCTAATATTTTGCAAGAAAAATCCTCAAAATAAAGTGCGTACCCGTGTTCTAGAATCTGCCCAATACTTAGCAAATTTTTCTTTAAATCGGGTACAAGCAAGACATCTTTTATAAATTTTGGATCGTCTGCTGTTTGAACAGCAACTGTACCTTTGCCTTCACTTTGGGCTATAGAGCCATTACCCATGTGAATCTTTGCATGATACGATGAGTCCATTTCTCGAAATAAATTTGGATCAACTGCCATGTGGTTTGTAAAACCACTGTCAATAACCCAAACATCATCCTTTTCTTCTTGAGCAGTATGGCAAGAGAAAACCATTTCTTCAGATTTTTCCTTTTCTTCTGAAAAATTAGCCCGATTAATTTCTCGGGTTCTGCAATATTTTGCAATATGACTCTTTCTTTTTCACTTATTGCATGTCATTTTCTTCCGGCACATATCTGTAGTATGACTAGATTTTTGGCAAATGTCACACCACAAATTTGAATTGGACGTACCTTTTTCTCTTCTCTCTTGACCATCTTCCTTCTGCATGTTCAGCTTGGAAAAACCGTTTTTTCTGAAAACCACGGTCTCGCATTGGAAATCCATTTTTCTGAAAATTCCCGCGAAACCTTTGAGATCTGAAGCTCAACTTTGACTGAAATGCATTTTCAACGGAGCTCCCTTCACATGGAAGCTTTCTTTCTTCATGAGATTACAACAAGCTCATTAGTTGTTGAATTGTGAGAGTTGACAGATCTTTGGACTCCTCAATAGCAGCCACAATGTACTCATATTTTTCAGGTAGACTGATTAAAATTTTCTCCACGACCTTTTGGTCGTTTATATCTTCACCATAGAGGCGCATCTAATTAACGATCTCAATAACTCTTGAGAAATAGTCTTTTACCTTCTCTGACTCCTTCATTTGCAAATTCTGAAATTGCCTTCTCAAAGTTTGAAGCTTCACTGCAAGTACCTTCTGAGATCCTTAAAACTCCTCCTTCAACTTGTCCCATGCTTCCTTAGATTTCTTGGCGCCAATAATACGCGGAAATAGACTTTCCGCAACTCCTTGTTGGATCAATAACAAGGCCTTGGCGTCCATCATCCGATCCTCTGCCAAAGATTTTTTCTGTTCCGCCGTAAGAGTTTCTCCAGCAAAATACTCCCTGTAACCATTCTCAACAATATCCCACAATCCTTAAGATAGTAGCAGCGTCCGCATCTTGATGCTCCATATATCATAATTAATTTTCTCTAACAAATATAGGAACCATGGACTGTGCCATTGTGGCGCCCTAACTTGAAGCTATACTTGTAGCTTCAATTGAGAATACCGATACGCCGCGCTACTCCATCACACCCTACTCGAACCTGGGCGCTCTGATACCAGTTGTTGGTGTTGATTATTTTGCTAAGAAGGGAACCAAGACGAGGAGCAGAGAAGCTTGTGCTTGTTTTAAGTGTTTCTTTTACTTGCTTTGCTTGAGGGCTGAACAGTACACTTGGTTGTACGTTGGGCAGCACATCATCAGGCACATACACAAGCATTGGCTGCCTATTTATAGGCTTACAACCAACGTTACTTGAAGCTTCATGAACCTAGTAGAATTAGTACTACTGGCTGCCTAGTATTACTGCACATTGATGGATAGAACTACACTAATCTAGAACCTTTTTTTTTTTGACCGGGGCACTAATCTAGAACCTTTTACTGAGTAGTAGTAGCACTGGTCTTTTGACCATAGGTTCTAGAGTAATTGAGAAGAATAAGATGTCTAGAAAATTCAGGAAATGGATTAACATCAACACCCTCGGCGTTCCACCCCCGCCGTGCCCTGTCGATCATCCGCTCTAGCACCGGCGCAGCGACGAAGGGATGCGCCGCGATCTTCTTCCCGTCTGACGTGACGAGCTGCACGTCGGCCACCACCGCCGGCCGGAGCGCGTCCAGATCAACAAATTCTCCTCGCTCACGATCAACAACAATTCAATAGGCTGGTTAACCAAGAAAGAAGAGGAGGGGAGTGGGATGACACGTGGGCCCCACCATTTTATATTATTATTTGTGTGTAGCTGGCATGTGGGCCCACGGATTATATTATTTTTCGGATCAAAATGCTACGTAAGCGCTATGTCAATGCTATGTGGGACGAAGAACTAGTCAAAACAGCCATGTAAGCGCCATGTCAGCCAAAACCGCCTTCCAAACGTCGAGGGACCTCGTTTGCACCGGTTTTGATACTTCAGGGACCGGTTGTGTCGACGGGGATACCCGTAGACCGGATATAGAGGGTATTGGAGTACGCTGGTACGAGGATCTACATAGTACGACATCAAGCAAACAGGAAAAAAGGATTATACTGGTTCATGCCCCTTGATAGGTAATAGCCCTAATCCAGTTGATATGGGATTATATAATAGAAACCACAGATTACAAAGGGAATAGCAGAACTCGATGATACCGACGAGACCGTAGTCGAGTTGGTTCGACTAGATCATCCCGGCGACTTAGCTCCTGTAGGCTCCGACTTCATAGGCTGTGGTGGTTGTATTGGCTGTGACATTCGATTCCTTAGGTCCTCCCGGGGGGTCCCTTTTATACCGCGGGTCAGTTGGTCTCCAAGTAGAACTCGAAGACATCGGACCCCACACGATACAGTAACGACCCAGTTTTGTCCGAGTAGGACTCCTTCCATCCGTAGACTCTATTTCTGTTACGTGATGAATTTCCTTAACGTATACAAGAAACATCCGTATACGCGCAGGTATACCATATCAGTATACAACGTATATCCAAGGGTAGAGGGTATATCCAATCCGTAACCCTGACAGTAGCCCCCGACTTCTGCTTAAATGAACTCATGTAACCGATCGCGACTTCTGATGTCGGGGTCGTTGTCGTTGTCAACTGGTCGATCTCGGTGTGAGAACCGTAGAGACAAGGAGTAATCAACAACACCATGTGAAGTTCAACGGTCATGAGTGAATTTAAATTAAAGTCCGAAAACTGTTGCGCTTAACGGACCCAGAAATTTCCGGCGGCCATCTCTCTCCTTTCCTTGGAATTCGCACCGTCGGTAGTGCGTTTATTTAAGGGAGTTTTGGGGATCCATTTTGAAGTCTGCTTGCTGCAGAAAACTTTCTAACCTCCAAGCGCTCCTCGTCTTCTCCACTCCCGCAAAAAACCCTAGCTTGCTCATCTCAGTCCCTTCTCCGGTGATCTCCAGCGGCAATGGATCTCGACAAGTCCACTTCTGCCAGCGCGTCCCTAAAGAAGCTGCAGGAGGACGGTACTCTCCCTGGTTGCGGGACCATGGAGAGAGAACCAGGAGGTATTGAACCCAAACCTGTCCTAGGCCGCATGGTTGCGGTTGAGGATTATATTCTTTGCGGTTTTCTTCCCCCGCCCTCCGAGTTTCTTCTTCTCGTCTTGAATTTCTACAGCCTTTCCTTGCTCCATCTGAACCCCAATTCCATCGCCTTCCTCAGTATTTTCTCGTATCTTTGTGAGGCCTACATTGGGGTAGAGCCGTTTCTTGATCTCTTCCGCTTCTACTATGAGTTGCGCTAGATGGAACCTAAAAAGGTGTCCGGATGTGTCGGTTTCCGACTTCGAGATGGCCTGAAGTCGCGATACATCCCCTTCTAGTGCCCCTCTTCTCGTAGCAAATGGCGGGCGAGGTGGTTCTATCTTCAGATAGAAAATTCGGATCCAGTCTTTGTTGTTCCTGAGAAGCAACCAGACAAGATCCCAGAATGGACCGCCAAGCCCACCCTAACTCCCTCCCTTCAGTCTTTCATCGATATCATCGATGACCTCCGAGTACGAGGGTTGTCGGGATATGAAGTCGCTGCCGACTTCATCGGTAGGTGGATCCAACCGCTCCAGGCCCGAGTCCACCCAGCCTTTGACAATTCTGGGCCGGAGGACGCGACCCGGATTTCTCCTCGGGGTATTTTTCTTGTATTTCAGATTTCATTCTTCATGTGCATGTTCCTCCGGACTTATCGAGTTCTGGTTCTCGATCCTACAGGTTTAAACAGCGAAACTGTGGAGCGCCGCGTTGGTCAGGTGATGATCAGCAGCCCTACGACGGCGAGCAACGTCCCCGTCCCCCTTTGCGAGAAGGGGAAGGCCGATCGTGAGGCTGCGATCAATGTGAGTGTATTTGAGGACTCCTTTACTTCTGCTTCTCTGGGATCGCATTGTGACTTCATGTATGCAGGCTCTTCCTCTGACCGACGTCATCGGGCCGCTCGCGGACCACCAGGCGGCGGCGTCGTTAAAGGAGGGCGTCGCCAAGGAGGCATCCGACATTGCTGCTGCTGCTGCCACGACGAGTGGCACCAACGTTCCGAAGAGAGGGAGGAAGTTCTCCGCCGTGCTCGGGACTCGTCGGAAGGCGCCCATTGTCACATCCTGATTTTCGTTTCAGGATTTATAAATTATTTAATAAATTATTTATAGAATTTATATTAAATGTTCATTAATTTACAAGTGAAGTTAAATGTGGGAAATAAAATTTTCTAAATATAAAGAATGGTTGGATTTATTTTTTATTAAATTCTCCATGATTAATTATACTCTCTGGAATTTTCTCGGATTTTTCAGAGCTCAATTCTTAATTTTAATAATACAAAGAACAGTTTAGCAATTATTTAAATAATAAATTAATCTTTAAATGATCTGGATATTATTATGTTAAATACTTTGAGTGTCCAAGTATGTTCAAGATTTTTCTTGGAATTATTTGAGCATTGGAAGTATTTTTAACAATTGAAAGATCATCTCATTGGTTAATTTATTTGGAAAAGTAATAAAAGTCGTCCTCATCAGCTTGGGCCGAATTCAGCCCATTCTCTCCTATTCTCTCTCCCTTCCTCTCAGCCCGCAGAGAAGTCTGTTTGACCTCCCTGGTGCTACAGTGCTCCTTCTTCCAGCTCAGGCAGAGCCCGAGCTCTCCAGCCCGTGCACAGTGCCGCCGCCTCCTCCCACCAATCCGACCTCCCCGTTGCTCCTATTTCCAAATTAGTTGCGGGAATGGAATCCTCTCAATCTCCTCTTCCTTTTCCCCAAGAAATCCTCAAAAGTTTCTATGGAAATCCTTTCCAATTTCGCGGTTCAATCTTACCTTTTTCCGGCGAGAACCCTAGACTTTCCCGAGTTTTTCCCGTCGTTGTGGGCTCGATCCCGGCCTCCCATGGCTATATATAGAGCCCCCTCCTTCCCCTCTTTCTGCCGCCACCTCTCCCTCTCTCCGCCGTCGCCGGAAACACTCTTCCCGCGACTCCCTCTCTCTCCACCTCCGGCCGCCGCTCCAGCCGCCGTGCGCCGTCGCCCCGGCCGTCGCCGGTCAGCGCCGCCACTTCCCTCGGCTCCGCAAAGTCGAGCTCTACCCCGGCTATTGGTTCCTTTGTGCCAAAAACCGCCGGAAGCCGCTTGCCGACGCGAACCAGAAGGTTTCGGCCATTGCCGAGCTTCCAGCCGCAGCTAGCAGCCGCCTTAGCTGCCGCTTTCGGTCGCCGTCGACTCTATTGGGTTCTCAGGAGCATGGTGAAGCCCGGCCACTGGTTTTTCTTCGCCGAAGATCGCTGAAACGTCGCCGCCATCGCTGACCCGACCCCGTCGCCGCCTCTACCTCGCTGCCGGCCGTCTGCCGTCATCATCCATCGTCGCGCCGCCCCTCAGTGAGCTTTCCTCTCTCCGATGTCGTTCATCGGTGTGGTTTATCCATAGGGTTTTAATCCAATCTAATCTAATTTGGCCCTAATGTCGTCATCGTCTTCATGTGTTGTCGCCAGAAAATCGTCGCCGCAGTGGATAGTACCTCGCCGCCCTTCGAAGCTCGTCGCCGGCCATCTTCCGTCGCTGTCCGTCGTCGCGTAAGTGTTGGTAAGAATCGACGTCGCCTTCTCTACCTCCCGGTGCCCTCCGTTTGCATTATTGTGCCGTGGTTCGCCGACAACCGCCGCTCCTATGCCTTTCACCTGTGAGCTTTTCCTTAATCCAATCTAACCTAATCCGCTGTCTGTCTAGCGTAGTCGTCGTCTCCGTGTGTTGCCGCCGGGTAGCCATTGTCATCTCTCCCTCTCCGATCATTTTGGTTCGGTGACACTTCTATTCGTGTTCCCTCGGTTTAGTTTTTAATCTCTCGTTTGTGTCGTCGAGTAGCCGCTGCCTAGCCGAGCCAAGTCGCCCTAGTGCCGCCGTGTCGCAGCTGTGTGCCGCTTTAACCTAGCCGCCGCTTTAACCGTTTGTCGGTAGTCAAGTTGTCTAGCCGTAGGTGCATCCCTAAATTCCTACCGGCATATCGTTTGCCGTACCAGGGCTTTACCGTGAATAGTGTCTAGCTTACCGGTTTAGCCGTAGCCGTTGTTGAGTCGTTCGCTCGTTCGTTTCAACGAGGTGTCCCCGGTGCTTCGTTTGTTCGTCCGTGTGGAGTCGTCCTTTAGTTTAGAGCCGTTCAGAGCCGCCGGTTCCGTTCGCCGGTTTCGGTTGATCATTTGGGTGATCCCGTGTCACGTAGAATTGACTCGTTAAGTCGGTATCTCATGAGGCTCGCTTGCCAGATCAATCTAATCCGTTGAATCTTGGTCAACTCTCGGTCAAGATTAATCTCAGCCGTCAAAAATTGATATAAATCCGTTCTCTCTTTTCAGTGGCATATTATTTCTTTTTAATATATGTCATCCACCAAATATGATCTAATCTTTTTCGGAGGTTGTTTTAATCTTTTGTCTCAGTTATAAATCATTTGTAAATGGTTTAACTAATTTGGAATAGTCTTTTCTTTAATAGGTTTAATTGGAATTAGATCTTGTAAAATTTGTAATTAATTCATATGAAATCGGAATGAGACCGTTCAGGTCTCTAAATTTATCTAAAATCATGATCTACATGTTTGTTTACTTTATATGTATTGTTTATTTGGTTTTATTAGTCTTTTTCCTCATTTTGCGTGTTAGCTTGTCGTTTCTGTCGTTTCGAAGGATCGTGAGTGCGTCGGAAGTGTTCAAGAAGATTAATTGAAGACCGATTATTGCAAGGCAAATCATACAGATCCCAAACACGATTCCTTTGAGCATGTTGATCATATATTTAAATTCTCTATTTATTTCAACTGCGCATTTATTTTTGAATGTCACTGGGTGGTGTGAACTTATTCCTTTGTTATGACCAATTTGCATTGATTACCCTATTTCTTGATTACCTTGGGTTATTATAATTTGACTAGTTGAGCTTTATATATTGGTTCAGCTAGATGTTAGACATAATTGCTTAGCCATGCTTAGAAACATTAGCACACCATTGGGATAACTAATGTTTCACTATTACTTAATGGTGATATTTAATGATAGCTCACGATGGTTAATCGTTATTGGTTAATTAATTAATTTGCTAACTAAAACTTGATAATGGTGGGTTGTGAGCACATGGTTTTGATAGTCGTGCTCATGACAATTAAGGACCGGTTCACGAGTTTCGGTTGTGAAACATTAACCGTGCCAACCAAAAGCCAGAGTGGGCAACGGCTGGACACTTTGTATAACAAGGCTCATTGCAGAGCACCAGACTGAGAAGTGGCGGAGATAAGCCCACGGGGGTCGCTGGGGAGTCCATGCCTCTGGTTTTTGAGGGGGTGACTATGATCCAGGAAAGGTGCGCTGCTTTGAGTTGAGTTATGCGAGGGGTCTTGTCACAACTACACAAATGGTGACATGTTCAGCATGGGCACATGATGATATGGTGACATGACGGTGGGTTGTGTCTCGTGGGTACAGTGGTACACCTCTAGCGAGAGTAAAACTATTCGAATAGCCGTGCCCGCGGTTATGGGCGGGTCGAACAATGTTTTTCGTGATTAGTCCCACACTACTCATTAATAATAATGTGGTAATTGATGGTAATTAATTTAGCTCCTGGTTTGGAATGGTATATTCCTGGTTTGGAGATAGTAATGTGATGCCGGGTATGGTTGTTCAGGATGGTTGGGCCTGTGCAGCATGGGTATGTTGTTCTGTGTTGATTAATATTGATGATTAATTACTCTACTGTTTTACAACTCTCAATTGTTTGCTAAATGCTGCTTTTGCAAATGAGCCCTATATTATGCCATCATTTGGTATCCTTGTGCACTTGCATATTTGCTGTGTGGCTTGCTGAGTATGTCATATGCTCACCTTGCAATAATCAATCAAACCTCAGTTGAAGACAAGTTGCGAAGGAGAAGACGTTTGGCTTATACCCCAGTTGAGCTGCCTGTGGGAGTGGAGCTGAAGCCGTCGCTAGACCGTTAATTCCGCTGCAGTTTTCTTTTCTTTTGTAAGTATGTAACGTTGTATTATTGATGATTCTGTATATTAAATTGTCAGTTTGTGTACCTCGGCTGATTCCTGGATGACGATTTAATGCACAAATAAGTTCGGAAATTACTAGTGAATTTCTGGGCGTGACACCTACCCCATCGGTAAGCCTCTCTTGTCCTTTAACGCGTAGTCGGAAAATCTTGACCTCACACCATGCTTATCTTACTTAGGCCTCAAACGCGTCTCCCCCGCCTCAGCGACGGCAAAGGCTTGTGATGCTTGGCGAAAAGTAAGTAGATGAATTTGAGGTCTTCCAATTTACAAAACTTTGGTAGCCTGACTTTATGAAAATCACGGGGCGGCGCGGGCGAAGGCGGCGCAAGATGGGTCTGGAGCAGCCTCTAGTGCGTCTCCTGCAGCAGCCTCGACAGATGTTGTGGTCGTGCCCAGGGACTGGGAGGCGATGCCCAGCGGCCCTGCCGGTGGCCTTGTGCCTGCTCGGGGCCCACCCGCTGACGTCCTCACCTGGGGGGAGCTCCAAGCTGAGATGGAGCGCATCCTCCAGGCCGGCGCTCGCAGCATAGGACGCGAGATCGAGGAGGCCAAGGCTGCGGCGGCGGCGTCGGCGAATGAACGCGCCGACAAGCTAGCACATGACCTGGTGGAGGTCCGCGAGGACTTCCAGAAAATGAGGGAGCTGGTGGCCGAAAACGAGAGGCAGCGGCAGGGGCTTGAGCACCGCATGTCGGAGCTCGAGAACAACTTGTTGGAGATCCGTGGCTCGCTGCGAGTCACCTACACTGGCATGCACCAGCTCGCCGGGGAGTGCGGCGTCACGACCACCATCCCGGCGAACCCCGATGAGTTCTCACTGACGTCTTCACTCGCGGAACTAGCCACGGCGATGGAGGAGATCCCCTCCAAGCATGCGGCCAGGATCGGGGACGAGACGTCCAACGGGATCTACACCTGGGCATGCCACGTCCTCGCGTGCGTAAGGTTGGCGCACCCTGATCTCGACCTCCTGAGGATCTTGGATCAGGGGGCTGCTAATGACGCGTGTAAGGGCATGATGGAAGAAGTCAGTGACTTGGGGGAGTCTGTTCTCCCCCTTTTTGAAGGGTAGGATTTCAGTCCCCTTGTACTCCTTAATCAATTGTGCTTGTAAAACTTTCGTAGGTTCAAACTGTCTTTGTGTGTGCAGTCATCACCTTCGCTTTCTTTAGCATATTGATCCCGAGTACTTTGTTGTCGTTGTAGAGATGTCGATGTCGATGTCGAGGATGTCCAGCAGCGCGGGCAGCCTGAGTCGCCGGTAGTCGTTCCGGCACTTGCGCTCAAGCCGTATGTGCCGCGGGACGACGTTGATCAAAACTTGTCCGTGGAGGCGGGCATGGCGACGACTTCCTTAGGTTGGTACTTTGGTCCTCATCTCCTTTGCTCTTTTTGTTCGGATCGACTTAATTTGCCGTGTTCTCGGAAGAGGGGAACGACTTGACTTAGTCATTTCCATATTGAGCAGACCTCGAGAGTGCATTGGCCGACCGAGATCATCGAATCCAATATTGGAGGACGAAATTCGAGGTGGCCGAACTCGAGAGGACTATGGTGCAAGTCAAAAAGGACCAAGCCGTGGAAGCACTACGAGGTCGCGAGGTGTGGTTCGACTCGTACCTTAGGAGCTGTTATACGGCCATGGCCGGAGTCTGTAGGGATCTCCGAGTACCTCGCGGGAATCCCGAGTCGGCGGCCGAATACATCTCGTGGTTGAATGGGGCCTGCTCTCAGCTTGAAGGCATCGGCAAGTGTATCGACGAGGCCCTGAAGCAGGAGTGTCGTCGATCGAGCCGATATGCTGGAGGGCACGTGCTAGCCTGTATCCGAGATCACTGCCCGCAGCTACACCTCGAGTTCCTCCACGAAGGGTTTTCACATTCTCGGAGGACTCCCGCAGAGAGAGATGATCTGGCGAAGTCGATGGCGCCGCTTGCAGAGAAAGTCTTCCAGTCCCTGGACTGGCGTTGGCCTTCCTGGTAGTCTTTATATCCTGTGACAAATATCTCAAGGAGACATGTAATATATTTTGGAATATTTACGAATTGTAAGAAGTACTTGTGAAATAGAAAAGAAATCTATCTAACTAAGTTTTCTTACTCTGGATGCGTTGTGTATGAGTGTTTTCTCACTTCGCGACTTCGATTAGTCACTTGAGTCATACACTCTCCCTAGCCCCCAGCCTTGTCATCGGAGAATTGTTCTCGGAAGATAAGGCTCTTGGACCTTTGACCTGCCTCGGTTGAACAAGCACTGATCCTAGCCCCCAGCCGTGAAGTTGGAAAACCCAATTTCCGATTACACGGCTTGGTTAATACGCACGGCGAGAACTCTTACACGACCAAATCTTACATGGTCTTTTGTCTCTTCATGATCCGACAAGGCCTTATCTGCTCTGGGCGTCCCCAGCCGAAGTTCCCTTAGGTTCCTCGGAGGCCTTGTCAAGACGGCGTAAAGGGACCTGAGGATAGGTTTCAACGCTAGGTGTCATCGTGGTAAGGGATCGTCAGGAAGGAACACTTTGATTGTGATCTTTACCTGAAAACAAACTTTATTGAAGCTGTAAGATGTTTTACAAGTATGGATACTATTGATTTATACATAGAATTTACGTAATTGATCAATGTTCCAAGAATTTGCTAACTCGCGACCATCGCCGTCTGCAATCTTGAATGCACCTGGCCACAAGACTTGCGTGATCGTGTACGGTCCTTCCCACTTGGGTGAGAGCTTGTTACGCCCTGCTTGGCTTTGAACCCGTCGAAGGACGTAGTCGCCGATCGAAAGTGTGCGTGCTCTGATGCGCTTCTCGTGGTATCGGCAAAGGGCCTGTTGGTAGCGGGCTGCTCTGACGACGACTCTTTCTCGATGTTCCTTGAGTAGATTTACGTCGTCGTTTCGCCGCTCCTCCTGGTCCTCGTCGGAGTACTTCTATACTCGTGTACTCTGATGTCGTATCTCAGTGGGGAGCATAGCCTTTGAGCCGTACACGAGGAAGAAGGGTGTCTCCTTGTTGGAAGTTGTCGGTCTGGTATGCATGGCCCATAGTACAGAGGGGAGTTCTTCAACCCACTTCTTGTCATGTGATATCAGTCTGTCATAGACACGGGTCTTGATTCCTTGTAGTACTATGCCGTTTGCCCTCTCGACCTATCCATTGCTCTGAGGGTGAGAAACCGAAGCGAAGCAGATCTTGACTCCCAGCCCAATGCAATAATCTTTGAAGTCGGCACTAATGAACTGGGAGCCGTTGTCCGTTATGATGCAGTGAGGCAATCCATATCTGCAGAATATCCCTTTAATGAATTTGATGGCGTTGTCGGCCTTGATTTCCCCCGTGGGTGTAGCTTCAATCCACTTGGTGAATTTGTCGAACGCCACGAATAGGAATTTGTGGCCGCCCTGTCCTCATGGGAATGGTCCGAGTATGTCGAGCCCCCAGCACGAGAACGGCCAAGTAAGAGGGATAGTCTGGAGCGCTTGCGCTGGTAGCTTTGTGTGTTTACTACGAAATTGACAGGCTTCACACCGTTGTACCATGTCGCAAGCATCTTTGAGTGCAGTCGGCTAGAAAAACCCTTGTTGAAAAGCTTTTTTTGACCAATGTGCGACCGGCGGCGTGTGACCCACAGATCCCTTCGTGTATGTCGAGTAGGAGATGTTTGCCGTCGTCGGACGAGACGCATTTGAGAAGTACCCCGTTTGGCGCCTTCTTGTATAGATCATTGCCGATCATATAGTAGATTTTGGCTTGACGGGTTATTTTCTCGGCCTCTGTATCGTCCTCGGGCAACTTATCGCTACCTAGGAATTTAATGAGTGGGATCCGCCAGTCGTCTGTGGTTTCTATGTCGGCAACGGCGCGTTCTGCATCTGTAGCCCCCGAGCTAATGTCGGGGACTACCACGCTATCTTCATCGTTTGCCTCTTTCACCGATGGCTTTGTCAGGACGTCCAGGAAGGTGCCGGGTTCGAGTGGCTCTCGTTTAGACGCACGCCGTGTCAGGTCGTCTGGTTCGATGTTGTCCTTGCGGTATGTGTGCCGGACCTCGATTCCATCAAACCTTTTTTCCAGCTTCCTGACTTCTGCGAGGTACTTAGATAACTCGGGGCTAGAGCACTTGTAGTCTTTGTGCACCTGGTTTGCGACTAGTTCGGAATCCTCTTTCACGATCAGTCGCTTGACTCCAAGTGAGGCTGCTGCTCTTATCCTAGCGAGTAGTCCTTCGCATTCGGCTGTGTTGTTGGTCGCCCTGAAGTTGAGGTGAATTGCATGCTTGAACTGATCTCCCGAAGGTGATGTCAAGATGAACCCTGCCCCTGCTCCTTCACTGTTGAGTGCGCCGTCGAACGCCATTGTCCATGTTTCGCTGTCGGTTTGACTGTCCGACCTGTTTTCGGGCATAGTCCAGTCAGCTACGAAATCAGCGGGGACTTGGGACTTGATGGCTGTTCGTGGCACAAAGTGGACATCAAACTGGCTTAGCTCGACTACCCATTTCGGAATGCGGCCGACAACGTCCTTGTTTCTCACGACTTCACCAAGTGGGAAGGAGGAAACAACTGTGACTCTGTGGGCTTGAAAGTAGTGGCGCAACATCTTGATGTCATGATTACTGCATAGAGCAGCTTTTAGATCTGTGTGTATCTTGTCTTTGCATCGTGGAGAGCTTCGCTGACGTAATAAACTGGTCTTTGCACCTTCTCTCTCTCGACAACAATGATGGTACTCACAGAATATGGCATGGTGGCGATATAGAGGAATAATTCTTCATTAGATTGGGTAGCAACAAGTAGAGGGGGATTTGACAGGTAGCGCTTGAGTGCGATGAACGCCTCTTCGGCTTCCTGTGTCTATACAAATTTGTCTTGTTTCTTCAGCAGAGCGAAGAAAGGTTGTCCTCGTTCTCCCATCCTAGCGACGAACCTGCTCAGTGCCGCCATGCATCCAGTTAGCTTCTGGACTTCCTTGAGTCTTGTGGGCGACTTCATGTTCTCGATTGCCTTGATTTTCTCGGGATTTGCTTCGATCCCTCGTCCAAAGACAAGGAACCCGAGCAACTTGCCCGATGGTACTCCGAACGTGCACTTCTCTGGATTGAGCATGAGGCGATATCGTCGGAGGTTGTCGAACGTTTCCCGGAGATGGTCCATCAATGAGTCGCTTGTCTTGGTCTTGACAACAATGTCATCGGCGTAGGCCTCGATATTGTTCCCAAGCTGATCGTTAAGTGCCCCTTGGACCGTGCGTTGGAAAGTGTTTCCTGCGGTTATCAGTCCAAATGGCATCTTAACATAACAGAATACACCGAACGGCGTGATGAATACTGTCTTCTCCTCGTCCTCTTTCGCCATGCTGATCTGGTGGTAGCTGGAGTAGGCGTCAAGAAAGCTTAACAACTCACAACCAGCTGCTGAGTCCACCAATTGGTCTATTCAAGGAAGAGGGAAGTGATTCTTGGGACACGCCTTGTTAAGGTCGGTGAAGTCGACACACATCCTCCACTTCCCGTTGGCCAGTATCGCCTGGCATCCGTTGTTCGCGATCATCGCGTTCGTGACGGCTGTGGCGGTTATCACGGTCTCGGTTCTCGCTCGGGTGCCCTCCTCGCTCTTCGTTTTCTCGACGTCGTGAAGAGACGCGATGTCGGGAACGATTTTTGTTGTCTCGCGCATGTCGTGCTTCTCGGCGGCCATTCAAATGGTCACGGAGATCACTGGTGCCGTGAGGTGGAGGAGTGGCTTGTCGAGGTGATGTCCGCTGCTCAGGTGGTTCGCCATTGGCAACGCCAGCTGGCGGTTGTTCTGGCTGTGCTCCGGCAGCGGCCTCCTCGAACGCGTTACTGAGATTAGCCACTGACTCCCGTAGTCGTTCTGTCCACCGTGCGAGATCATCGTTCAGAACGGGATCATAAGGGGTTTCCCTCGGTATTGCGTTGATGGCCTCGATGTGCTGGGCCGGTGTAGCCACTTGATTCTCCGCTTCTGCGTTAGCGCGTGTAGACGTGCTAGTCCCACCGATAGCAAACACATCACGTGGTGTACTCGTCAACGATGAGCCCTGGTCTTCGAGCAAGTGTAGAACTTACGGCTCATGGGGATCGATGTCGATTACCCCAACGAATCGGTCTGAGATAACTGTCACCCCTTCTTCCTTGTCCGCGCATCTAAGAGGGATTGGCAGGCACGAATCTCAGCTTGTACATCGAGAAAAACCCAGCAAGCTTGCAAGGTGTGTTTCCTGGTTTTGTGGATAGAACACCAAGACCTTGTCGCCTCGGAAGTTGTCCTTGCCGGCTCGTGATTCTCGTCGGAAGGACAAGATTTGGCCGCACAAGGATCCTTCTCAGGCTCGGATGTCGTCGATGTTCCGTTCTCCACTTCTGCGGGAGGATCCTTCGACATGGAGTCGCCCAGGGTTGTAACCACGGCATTCTCGCTTCCGGTCATTGATGGACCAGTCGAGATCGACACCGTGGTGTAAACCGGGAAGACGATTTCGCCGACTTGAGTCCACACCAGCATTGTTGAAGTAGAAACTCCTTGGCTTGTGCCGGGGTTGACGCTGTTGTCGACGAAGCTTGATTACATAGTAGTAGAACCTTGAGCACCAAGTCCCCCTACCTGGCGCGCCACAGTCGACGGGGGATACCCGTAAACCGGATATAGAGGGTATTGGGGTACGCTGGTACGAGGATCTACGTAGTACGACATCAAGCAAACAGGAAACAAGGATTATACTGGTTCAGGCCCCTTGATAGGTAATAGCCCTTATCTAGTTGATATGGGATTATATAATGGAAACCAAAGATTACAAAGGGAATAGCAGAACTCGATAATACCGACGAGACTGTAGTCGAGTTGGTTCGACTAGATCACCCCGGCGACTTGGCTCCTGTAGGCTCCGACTTCGTAGGCTGTGGTGGTTGTATTGGCTGTGAGATTCGATTCCTTAGGTCCTCTCGGGGGTTCCTTTTATTCCGCGGGTCAGTTGGTCTCCAAGTAGAACTCGGAGGCATCGGACCCCACACGATACAGTAACGACCCAGTTCTGTCCGAGTAGGACTCCTTCCATCCGTAGACTCTGTTTCTGCTACGTGATGAATTTCCTTAACGTATACCGGAAACATCCTTATACGCGCAGGTATACCACATCAGTATACAACGTATATCCAAGGGTAGAGGGTATACCCTATCCGTAACCCTGACAGGTTGTACCTGGTTTTGTGGTTCAAGGACGAAAATCGAATTCGGTGTAGAGTCAAGGGACGTTAGATGAACTTATTCCTACTTAAAATAAACCGGTTTCTAGTGGAAAAAGTACACCGAAGGTCTCTCAACTTGTCATCGAATTACAAACTCGTACCCTAACCGTCAAACCGGATACAACGCATCCCTCAACTTACAAAACTCATGCAAACAAGCTCCCTCAGCAGTTTAGACTCCGGTTTTTTCCGACCTGGCAGCTGTCTCACCGTGAGACCCACATGGGCCCCACACGTCAGGGTGTCCACGTCAGCACCTACTCTCTTTTTCCCCTCTTCTCTTTCTCTCGCTCTGTTCTCGCATGGGGACGGCGCTAGGGCCGCCGCCCACAACGGCGCGCGCGGTCGAAGGGTGGTGCGGCCGGCGGCTCCCGGGTGGCAGCGCGTTGGCTCAGGGTGGCGCGAGCTCGCCGGCCTCCCCGCTCCCCTCGTGCGGGCTGGCCGACGGGGCGAGGCAGGAAACAGGCGGTGGGGTGGCGTGGCGACGCGGTGGCGATGGGCGCGGAGGTGGAAGCAGGCGCGGGCGGCGGCCGGTTGCGGAGCAGCTGGGCGCGGTCGAAGATGTTCGGCGCCGCCAGCGCTTTCGCCAGATCCAATCGTCAGTTCATGCAACGAGAGACGCATCTTCAGCTAACAACTGTATTGCAGTTCAAGTATTAAACCATGAAGAATATATGCTCAAATTAAAAGGCATTGCATTTGTGCTTACATGGCTTGGGGATGTGCTCCTCGAGGTCGCCGCGGACGGAGCGCTCGACGGTGACTAGCGACTGCAGCGCGACGATGGTCAGGGAGTCCTTGGCCTCCACGCATGACATGCGGCGCATGTCCCCGACTTTGCGGGCTGCCACGGTGGCGCCGCCCCTCCCATCTGTCGCTCTCGTCGTGCCGGGGCCTTCCACGCCGGCGTCGGCGTGGTCGCCATTGCGCCCAACCTTGGTCGTCGTTGTGCCTTGCATCCCTCCGCTTCTGCTTGGTGCGACAAATGACTGAAACACACTCGATTCCCTGTGAGAGCTTGTGGTCTTGAGAAATCTATGAGATCGTACTGGTCTTGAGCTCGCTGCTCGCCGTCGCCGAGAGCGGCTTCAGGGGAAACCCACCGAAACGAACCACCCTCCTCCTCACCCTTCGCCACCGATGGCGGAGCGCGAGGGCACGCCGGCTTCCCACCCCGTGTCGGCCGTGGCGCCGCCTCCCCTCGCCGCCCTCTCTCCCTCTCTCCGTTTGCTTCCTCTTCTCCTGTTGTTGAAGTCGTGTGCGTTCTGTGCCTGCAGGGTGCCCGCGGCGGAGGGAGAAAGCGGAAAGGCACGGCGGCCGGACCGCAACCTCCGCGCTGGGGCAGCGCTGCGCGCGCGCGGCGTCGCTCAGACACGTGGACACGCTCCGGGAGCTCGGGCACTGCCTGTAGAAGGGCTACGGCGTGCGCTGCTCCATGCTAGACGGCCGCCGCCTCCTCATCCAGACCAACGCCCGCGAGATCGCGCCGCGGTCACCGCGTCGGCCTCGCTCCTCCGCGCCACCAGCAAGCTGGCTACCTCCTGCGCGGCACTCTTGCCTCTTCTGTGACTTCGGCTGCCATGCCGCGGCCAAGGCACCCAGCTGCTCCCCCGTCGCCACCCGTGGAGAGGAGACGGGGATGAGAAGAGGTGGAGAGGGGAGAGGAATCAGAGGCTGACGTGTGGGGCCGCGTGGGTCTGACGCTGAGTCAGCTGCCACGTCGAACAAAACCGGAGTCAAACCTAAACCGCTGAGGGATCTAGTTTACACTGGTTTTATAAGTTGGGGGATGCGTTGTATCTGGTTTTGTGGTTTGGGGACGATGTTGTAACTCGATGACAAGTTGAGGGACCTTCGGTGTACTTTTTTCTTTTCTAGTTCCTGGTTCTAATTCAGAGGTAGGTTTAGCTGCCCTAGTAAGGCTTAGAAACGTATGGGCTGGGACGACCCAAATAAGGCCCAACTAGAATGAAAGCAAAAGAGACGCAAAGCCACCTGAAGCCGGCCATTCCTTCCGCGTTTCCGTCGACGTTCCGCCGCCGACACAAACGCTTTGATGCCTTGGCACGGTGGGCCGGCCCTGCACTGCACGGCACGGTCAAAGAAAAATAGTAGAGGGATGCAAAATAGATTCAATCAGCCATATAATACATGGCTAAGGTAGAAGAGAAATATAAAATAGACTTATTTCCAGTCATATAAGCTCAAAAAGTTAATGGATGAAAAATAGACTTATTCTATGGAGAAGCACAATAAGCTATCATGTCTTCGGGCTGACACGACCCAAATCTTATTGGGCCGTGTGCGCAGCCCATGGGCTAGCCCGGCACAGCCCGACATGTAGATCGGGTCGTGCCGACCCAATTGACCTTGGCCCAAGGCCGAGTCGTGTCTAGGCCCTGACGTGCTGGACGGGCCGTTTGGCTATCTATAGCTGTGCCGTCCACCACACCGCGTTGTCAATTTAAAGTTGGATTCAAAATAAACATATGAGATATGTTCACATTGTAGAGTAAAAGTTTCAAATTTAACTACGACTAAAAATTTTACTCTCAATGAAAAAAGTTTATTCTTAATACAGTAAACATATCTCAAACATCCAATTCTATATTCAACGATAGTTTCAAGACTTTCACCGTATATTTTTCAATGTTGTACAGTGTCCACTATCCAGTCAAAAGCCCCATCTTTATGAAGTCATCTACCTCTCCTGTCTCGTCTCAATCCCCTCCACCACCACGCGCGCACGAAACCCGCGCACTTTCCCCTCCTCTTCCCTTCCTCGCGCCGCGTCCAACCGCATCGCATCTCACCCCACCTCCTCCCTCGGGTTCTTGGTGCGGGGAGCCATGGCGGCCGCCGCCGGGGCGCCACCGGGGTTCTTCTCCTTCCTCAAGCACGGCGTGCTCGTCCCGGCGCGTGGCCGCGGCGTGTTCCTGCCGCTGCTCGCGCTCACCGCGGCGCTCGCGGGCGCGCTCCTCCTCGCGAACTCGCTCGCCGTGCAGCCGCGCGCCGTCGCCGCGCTCCTCGACGCCGACGCCCTCAGCCGCGCCGACCCGGCCAGCGCCGCGTACCCGAAGCTCGTCCGGAGGTTCCGCGACGACCTGCGGGGGCTCCTCGTCGACGCCGCCGCGTGCGTCGCCGCCGCGGTGGTCGCCGGGTCGGCGATCAAGATCGCCACCGTGTTCGGCGCCGTCGCGGCGTTCTCCCCCGCCGGCGGCGAGGACCGCCGCGCCACCGTGTCCGGGCTCATCGGCGCGGCGAGGGGGAACGTGTGGGGGCCCGTGCTGACCATCGCCTTCGGGTACGTCCTCGAGGTGGTCTGCGCCGCGGCCATCGTCGCCATGGCGATGCTCGTGGTGCCCCTCCTCGAGTACTCCCTGCTGCTCCTCTTCCTCGACGCCATGGCCGTGCTCCTCGCCTCGCTCTTCCTCGTCTACCTCACCGTCGTCTGCGCGGTGGCGCTCGCCGTGTCGGCCGCGGAGCCCGGGGGGCGCGGCGCCGGGGCGGTGTCGCGCGCGTGGCGCCTCATGAGCGGCAAGAACGCGCAGGCCGTGCTCTACGTCGTCGCCACGTTCGCGCTCGCCGCCGCGGTCTCGCCGGTGTACACGCTCGCGCTCAGGTGGTGGCCTCGCAGCGCGCCGGCCGGCATCGCCGCCGGCGTCGCGTACGTGCTCCTCCTCGGCGCCGTCGAGGTGTTCTCCGTCGCCGCCGTCACGGCGTACTACTTCGAGTGCAGGGAGATGAAGCAGGTGGAAGAAGACATGGCGGCGGGTCACCACCACTACACCAAGCTCTCTAATGGCGACGAGGCAAACATTTGACCAAACATTTGTGAATTTTTCTCTCTTCCGAATTCATTGTATGAGTAGTGTTTGATAGATGCTACTACTAATATTCTTACATTGGGATTGACATTGCAAATTCCATACAAACCTTCAAGCAAGGAACAGTAGTACCATAGCAATATCATGTTACATCTATGCCTACATTTTAGTGTGGTGAATTTTGCTCAAATTGACTGTAAATTTTGTGATTGCACATGTGAAAACTGCAATCTTTTAAAAATTATGCGAATTCTAAAACATATTGAAAGATGATGCAAATTCTCATAATTAGGGGGTTCCTGATCACCATCATCCATCTAAGTTATCACAGCGATTGATTGTGTTAGTTGGGAACAAACAATCCCTTTACCAGTGATTCTTTCAGCCCAATATATTATTTAAACAAAAAAATATGAGATCAGAACTAAGCAAGTTGCTGCCACATCCCTATCACACATTAAATCCACCCGAACAATCTAAGCAAGTACAGGTAAAATCCATCACAAAAATGGAGAAAAATATCTCTGCGAAAACAACTATGCATATGCTCTGATTCTTCTCTCAGGAAGGAGCCAGGAATATGCCAATCTTATTGGCACCAAGAAAGCATACAATTCTCTGCTGTGCTTTTGAATCCATCGAAAGAAAAAATAAATAAATTCAGCATGTAGTTTTCAGAGAGACCGTCAAATTAAGGCAGCTAAGCTCGCCATCGCCACACGGATTTCTTCTCGTGGAGAAACGGATGATTCCACTATGCGTCGCTGTCAGCTGCGGCGACTGATCGTTGGACACAATTCTGGACTCCGTTTGTCCAATCGGATCGCAACGGTGACTGGGTTATGACTAGCTTGATAACCCATGGTCGACTGCTTTCCCATGGAATTCGGCCGGGGAAGACAGTGACCTCGCCGGAGCTGGGGGTGAGCTCCAGCCAAAGAGGTCGACGGCGTTACGCTGGCTTGAAATCGCGAGGCCGAGATGGGGTCCAGAAGAAGATTGTAGAACAGAAAGATTTTGAATAGTTTTTTAGAAACTCAATAAAGAATTTGTAGTTTTAGTAGTGATGGGCACATTGTTGTGTCATGTGCTGATCCAACATGTTTAAGCTAATAATGCAGCTGTTTTCTTGATGAAATTGTTCACGTGGAAGGGAGAGATGATGACCATTGACTCCAACCCAATCATGCCTTGAAGGCTCATGCACCACAATATAGTGCACATGTATGTAATCACTTATATAAAAAAGAAGTATTTGAGTCAGATGGGGAGGAATGCCAGCAGGGAAAAATCACATGCCCATGATGTACTGTTGGTCCCAATCAATCACACATGAAGGGCCCAAGTGAAACATACATTCGATAGTTGCAGTAGGATAAAATTAAAGTACACACATTCGAAACGGGGCTTTACATTGTTGCCTTGAAGCCAACCAGGGCAATTTTTATACAAACCTTAGGTCAACTTTGCGCATGAGTTCATGTCAGATAGATTACAAGTCCTCCAATCCCTATTGTCTTATATGGCATGTATTAAAAAAATACGATACAATTATTGAAATTTACAGTGTAAACTTAAGTAATTTATGGTGTAAAAATTATTCGACTAATTTTAAACGAAAATCTGTAATAGAGAAGTCCCTTTATTCTTTGTTTTTTTTGTTTTGTTATCCTCCCAAGGTACAGTCTAAAAAAGTTTTACAAACTTCCTTGGGTCGTCGGCTCTCGATGCTGGACGCCCTCCTCCCGTGAGCAACTGAGCATCGCCAGCCACTACGGCGCACTATAACATACAGGCCGTGTTTAGTATTTTTGGCAAAAAAAAAATTGACGTATATGGACACCCATTTGAAGTAACAAACGTGAATTAATAACAAAACAAATTACAGATTCTGCCTGTAAACTACGAGAAGAATCTATTAAACCTAATTAATCCGTGATTAGCAAATGTTTACTGTAGCACCACATTGTCAAATCATGGCGTAAATAGGCTCAAAAGATTCGTCTCACAATTTGTAATTGGTTTTTTTTCGTCCACATTTAATGCTTCATGCATATGTCTAATATTTGATGTGACGAAAAAGTTGGAAGTTTGAAGGGAACTAAACACAGCTAGGGGTGGACGTTCGGTCGGACCGAAAAATTCGGTCTCGGTCTTCGGTTTTTCGGTCAGTTCGGTCTTTGCAAAGTCAGGACCAAATTTCTCCAAAAAAACTCTGGACCGGCAAATTCGGTCTCGGTCTGACCGAAATTTTTGAGAATAAAGTTTGGAACGAAAAAATTTGACAGAGGCATCGCCGGCGCGGTGGAGGGCGGAGGCGTCGGCCGCGGCGCGGTGGAGGACGGCGGCGGCGGCCGCGCGGTGGAGGGTGGAGGCGGCGGCCGCGTGGGGGAGGGTGGAGGCGGCGGCCGCGTGGTGGAGGGCGGAGCCGGCGGCAGCGGCGCGGTGGAGGCTGGAGGAGGCGGTGGCGCGGTGGGGGCGGAGCCGGTGGCGGCGGCGCGGGAGGGGCTGGAGGAGTGCGGCAGACGGCAGTGGTGGTAGACTGGTAGGGTTGTATCACTTCTAGGGTATGTTTTAGTAGGCTTATTGGGCTTCCTAGGCCTATTGGGCCAAAATTTCGGTTAATTCGGTTAACCGAGCCCAATAACCGAAATGACCGAAATAAATTCGGTCTTTTGAGGACTAGAACCAAACAGATAACCGAATATCTCGGTCTCGGTCTCGGTCTTTTCAGTTCGGTCTAAATATGCCCACCCCTAAACACAGCCATAGGCTTACAACCTTTGAGGCCAACCAATGAACCGTCACTCACTTGACAGTTATATGATTGTAGAAGATGATCCATAATTACTTCTATCATGTTTATCTATATCTATTCTACTATATAAAAGTATAGCCGTGCTCGTTGTCTCTCACAATGTATTAAAAAAAATCGAAATGCTGTGCTCCGGAAAGTAAAATCACTAAAGAAAAATGGAGGGGGGGGGATGTGGTTGGATAAAAAATTATCCGTTTTTTATGTTAGATGTACATCACAGTTTTTTTTTTCAAGGAACCGATGACAGGAGTTTCTCCTGTCGGAATTTATAGAAGAAGAGCCCATTTTTAATAGTATGGCTCGTTGCAATGAACGATCATATATTACAAGGTAGAAGTTGGAAGAGTTGCATTCTAACACAAAACCGGGTATGGCTCAAGTTTTATTCACTGGTTCTCAATCATGAAACCGGATAAAGAGAGTTCTATAATTATCAAAACCAATCTAAAGTAGTATTGTGGATGGTCTTGGCTAACGACCTAATGTGGCATCATAGTCGAAAAAAAACACATTCGGACCCGCATATAAGTGGTCACCTCACCTTCTGTTTCTATCTTCCCCTCTTTCTCTTCATCCTCTTATCTCGAGGCATTTAACTACTCTTCATCTCGAGGCATTTGAACAAACATCCCTTCATATATATTTTATAATCATTTAAAAAAACAAGAACAAATCATCAACATGTAAAATTTAAATAAGTTTATATATTTAATTCTTCAAAATCTTAATGATAAATTTCAAGTTGACAAATAATAACTCCATAAAAAAATAATCTATATAAACACATGATAGCCTAGACTCACGAGCCACCTCGGCCTTGGCTCGTTTGGCTTACAAGCCAAGCAAACCAAGCTCGAGCCAAGCCTGAGCTTTTTTTCCACCCGGGGGGGGGGGGGGTGGGGTTGAAATAGAATGGGGTTATGGATGTGGATATGGAACTGATGTCAATTTGGATATTGCCAATGTGAATGAATGTGTGTATGTTGACGAATGGACGTGGAATTGAATAGAGTTTGGATGAATAATGATGTGGCTGTATGTTCATGAAGTGGCTGTATATTGGCGAATGGATGCGAATTTCTGTTATTGTGTGATTTGTATGTGAAATTGGTAGGTCCTACCATTTTTATTTGGTTTTCCTGCCAAGATATAGGTACCGGTTTTTTTACAAACCGACACCTATAATCTTTGCCACGTGTCCTAGCTGCCTAGTCAACAACCGGCATCTTATATGCTTCTATAGGTGCCGGTAGTATTTAAGAACCGACATATATAAGATCATCCATGTGGCAATCGATTTAAGAATCGGCACCTATACTTCTATATAGGTGTGTCATGGGTGTCGGTTATAGATCCGACATCGATGATCGAGGTCAAACGTACCGCCAACTAGGTGTCGGTTGGGATATCCGGCACCTATGACCGGTTCCCAACTGACACCGAAGTGGTTTTCTGTAGTAGTGAAGCTTCATATGCTAATGTATCACATATCACAAATATGACAACTTCAATTTTCTGGTAACTTTGAGTATTGAGGAATTGATATACTCTCATATTTGATCTAGATCTAATTAAAGCTGTGCCAAATCTTTGTGTTTTTCATATCGGCGATCACTGAATTTGTTTATCTATAGTACCTCCCATTGACCCATAGGTGAACATGTTTCCTAAAAAAAATTACTAGATTCATGCGCCCTACAATTGTTCTTTTAAGATCTCATATACCAGCATATATATGCATGCATCACTATTCGTATTTTCTCTTTGTTTTCTCGCAGAAAAAGAAATATTTTCTTAGCTATTGAAAATATGACAATGAGATCTTAAGTCACTTTAGTACATGATGAAAAATAATATCATGTTTGCTTACCATCCATGGTTCTTCCATTTCGTCCGCGGTTCTTCGAAATAGGAGAATCTTAATTGGTATCATGTCATTTATATTCATAGCAATACAATACAAACCTTGAAGAATGTTGATTCTTTTAGGTAACTTGCATGGGAAAATATGTGGTGGAATCCACATGTGTAGTGGAAACTTAGAAACTAGCGTTAGATCAAATGGGTGGTGTGGCATAAATGGTATATTTGAGGCCACATCAAGATTCTTCATACCATTTGGACCACACGTGTATTTGAGGCCATACGGCCATACTATTTAAACTTTATTCATATAGACTATACATAAATACTACGTGCATATAAACTTTATACATAGAAATTTCACACGCATAAACTTCATACATATAAACTTTGAGCATATAAATTTAAAACGAATTAAAAACAACAACTTAAAAAGCAAAACAAAACGTATGTGTGGATCGCGTGCGTACTCTCTCCTCCTTGAACTCGGTCTGCTTTAAGAAAAGAAAAGTAGATAGGCTAAGCCTAAAACGAAAATAACTGTAGGCCCAAGAACAGAAATTTGGCTGATAGCGGTGCGCGAGCTGTCGCGTCGCGCACATTA